ATTTAATCTCATAGAGCTAAAACTTTCACTTTCTGGATCACAGATTTTTGAGAACTGAAATTTCAGGAGATTTAACGATTTATTAAGCCTAATCAAGGATCATCTGAGGAGAATATCACATGGAAAAATAATTTCAAAGAACAGTTCTATAGCATTTGAGTTAGGCCTGGCCCTTGAGTAGAATTTCAATGGGCAAAGGCAGCAAAGAGTTTTTCAGATGGATGGCTAATTAAAATAAGTATATGAAAGTGCCCAGCAGTAAACAGTTACTGACTGCCCACTATCATACACTAAGTTATGATATAATGAATAAGACAGTCTCTGAGGAGTATTTTCTCTGATGAGAGACTGACAACCAATTAGCATACTCATTGGGCAAATATCTGTTTCAAGCAGCACCACATGTTTCTTTTTTTTTAGATTTATTGTTTTTAAGTAATCTCTATACCCAATGTGGGGCTCAAATTCACAACCCCTACCTAAATCAAGAGTCACATACTCCACTCACCGAGCCAGCCAGCCAGACACCTCCACATATCTATGTTTCTAATAAATATTCAGATAAATAACTATGTTTCAAATACCACAGTAGGCCTTAGGGGCACAACAGTAAATGAAACAATGTAGGCCTCAAAGAACTTATAAAGCAAAGTCTTGGGAAACAAGAGAAGGGGCATCTAACTCCAATTCTTCTAATAAAAAGTGTTAAGTATCAAGTAGACTTTAAATGCTAAGATCTCCAGGTTTATTCTATAGGTAATAAGCTAATGAAGGTTTCTGAAGATAAATAAATGGAATGATCATTTAACAAATATTTAACTACTACTGGAACTCACGTAGGCAATGAGTTATGATCTTTTGGGGGGTTTTACTAGAATGCACTATAAATTAGAGGTTAAAAGACTAAAAGCAGAGTAAATGCACCTAAGATCCTACAACAACCAAGACATAAGTTAATAAATCCTGAATTAAGGTGATGACAGTGAGAATAAAGATTTGAAAGGCATCATAAAGGTAAAATCAGCAAAACATGGATTAGGGGGTCAAGGGAGAGGGGAAGTCAAAACCATGGATACAACTTCAGGTTGGATGACAAGAACAAGGAATAACAGGGAAAAGCACATTTCAAAGGAGAACTAATGGATTCTATCTTAAGGGTATAGCAAGCCACTGATCTTCTAGAGACCCAAGTCATGGATCCTCTTCAGAGCTTATTCCAAAACACCAGCAGAGTACGTAGTATAAAAAGCATTGCTCCATGTCATGCGAAAAGGAGAACAAAGCCACCTGTGACCATCGATGCTTGTTGATCAGCTAAGCTTACTCCCTAAATGAATGTAATCCATTTAGCGCCTCATAATACAGACAATTGAAATTTTTATCTTTTCGGAATCAAATAATTACAGGTTATGGACTTTCAAGGACACTAACTAATTATGAAAATCACAATGTTAAGATCATGAATGATGAGTCTAGAGTGGAAACATCAGGCAAAGAAATGGAAATGTAAAGCTAGGGAAAGAAATCAAGCGTGGGGACTCAGATCACTCTACAAGGAGGTTCTGTGACACAAGCCCATGAATAAAAGAAGATCAGAGATCCTTGCTCCACATCCTAAATACTTGCCATGAATAGGATAGGCCTGTTAAAACACAAGAGTAAAATAAAGAAGACAGCTAAGAACAGAGGACATATTCTCAAGAAACATTTATGAGAAAAGAAAACAAAAAAAGATACACAGGAAGCAGTCAGAGAAACAGGAGTGCAGTAGTCTTTATGCCAGAAGAGATGAAAATATCAAGGAACACATGAACAACAGTGACAAATAGTTCACAGAGGTCAGAGAGAATGAAGACTGCACTGAAGATCATCAAATTTAGTCATTTAAATTTCCCTAGGGCTGCTACACATCTCTCTGTATAATTCTTTCACAATAAAAACTTTACACAAGTGCCATGGATTATTTTGTTATTTGAAAAAGAAGTTTCAGTATCCATGTGGACATTTGCACAGTGGAAAACTACACAGCAATGAAAAAGAAACATTTCTACAAGCGACAACATAGATGAATCTGACAGCCATGATTTAATGAAAGCATCTAGTCAGAAGAGTACAAACTGTGGGATTCCATGTATATATGAAGTTCAAGAAGAAGCAAAACTAATCCATGGTGATGAAAGTTGGGAAAGCAGTTACCTTTGGGGAAGCATAATAACTGGGAGAAAATACCAAGGGGCATACTAGGGTACTGGAAATGTTCTACATCTTGATCTGAATAGTGGTCACATGAATGTATTCAATCTGTAAAAATTCATGGTCTGAATGAACCTTTGATTTATGCACTGTGGGGCGCCTGGGTGGCTTAGTCAGTTAAGCGTCCAACTTTCGCTTAGGTCATGATCTTGCGGTTTGCGGGTTCAAGCCCCGCGTCGGGCTCTGTGCTGACTGATTTATGCACTGTATTTAAGTCACACTCAATAAAAAAAGTAAATAACATACAAAGCAAAAAACATACAAAGTTATTAGTGACCATGAAGACATCAGTTTTGGAGCAGTTTAAGTGTAGAAGCCAAACTGTAAGGGGGACCTGGCTGGCTCAGTCAGAAGAGCATGTAACTCTTGACCTCAAGGTCATGGGTTGAGCCTCATGTTGGGTGTAGAGATTACTTATATAAACAAATAAACTTAAAAAAAAAAAGCACCAAACTGTAATATGAGGAATGTGTACAGGTGAGGAAGCTGAGACAGTGAATACAAACTCATTTCCCAAGAGGGTTGCTGGTAAAGCAAAGCAAAGAAATTAGTTCAGGTGGATTACACAATCCAGGGAAACTATGTTTCATATTTTAGTTGAGGTATAAGACAAAGAGAGAATAATATACATAACAAGGGCCTACATCAAGTGAAAGGGTATGAAATCAAAGACACAAGCACAGGAATAAGCCTTGAAGAGGAGGATGAATACTTCTTTCTCTAGAATTGAAGCAAAAGATGAGTGAACACAGAAATTGTGAGTTAGAGGGGCACCTGGCTTGCTCAGCTGATAAAGCATGTGACTCCTAACCTTGGGGTCATGAGTTCAAGTCTCATGTTGGGCTTGCTCTCATACTTATTTACTAAATAAATAAACAAACAAACAAACAGATAAAATTGTGAGAGAGAGAAGAGGGGAAAATCAAATAACCCTGAACTCTTTAGTGAAGCATGCAATAAAGTCAATTGAACCGGGTAAACTGAATCAGTAAAGGATCAGAGCTTTTAGTACATTTTAAAAGTTTCGAAGAAGTACTGCAGAGAATAGAAAAAACAAGGATGGGAAGGTGGGGGGGAGGGGGATTACAACCAGGGACAACATTCAGTGGCCTGAAAGCAAGGGCAGAGATAGTGGAAAGCGCAGGCTACTCAGAGCTGGATGCAGAATAAAAGATGAAAGAACAAAAGGTAGAAAAAAATCCAAGTGCTGGCATGTGCATCACTGAAACTATATAATGAAGAAGATGTCTAAGTAAAACACCAATTGAACTGATGGGAAAGAGGCAGAAGACCTAATAAAAATCTTGAAAGAGTCAAAGGCGACTTTACTAGGGTCTCAAGTAGAGCTGTGCAAAGGAAAGCTGTCACTAGAGTTCATTACTACAGAATATTTTTCTGCAAATCCCACAAGGTCAAGGACCACATATTCTCCTTTCACTGCACTTCCTAAAGCTACTCGTGGCAACTTCTCCTCCCTGATAAAACTGACCTTTAGCCCCTATCTAAGTACACCTGTGCTTGATTAATAAATTATACAAACACATCCTGCCCATTCAGAAACTCCATGAATACTTTTATACTGCTTTCTGTTTTCCCATGAAGGTGTTTTCAGTGGTAAACTCCTGGAAGGCAGAGCCTATCTCTCTATAAATTCTGTTCACAGCACTGGGTTTGGAATTGCACATATGCAGGTGCTTTGTTTTTTGGTGGGTTTTTTTTTTTCAGTATTCATAAATCAAGTTTTATTGGACCCCAGCCACACCATTAGTTTACATCTTGGTTGTTGTTGTCTTCCCACTTTCATGGCAAACGTTGCAACGGTGATCATATGGCCAGCAAAACTTGAAATATTCACGGTCACTTTATGGAAAGTTTACCAGCCCTTGCTCTATAGGCAGAGGCCTTTCAAGTGGAAATGTTTGTTTTGCTCTCTTCCAAATCTACAGTTGTGCTAGAAGCATAAACGGCTCTTATTTCCCCGTTTTTAAAATACTATTTACCATTTCAAAATTTTCTGAGCAACTGCCCTGTGTATGATAAACCAGAAGTATTCAGTTCCTGCCACCCTCAAGAACATTCAACAGAGGTACATTCAGTACAGGTGGGAGGTGGCTCTCTGGAGGGAGGTATGTATGGTGAGGAGCAAGATAAACATAGTTCCTATCCCTGCATATGCAGGTGTTTTAAAAAGTGCTTTCTCCTAAGATAGATCGTTACCGAAGAGAATCTTAAATATCTGAACACACTCCACAATACTATATAATGATGGCCAAATCAGAGAATGCTTAGGAACGGCATCTGTTTTTATAACTGTCAAGACAACCTCTAGGAAATAGAATAACATTACTATATCGTATTGATTTTCCCACCTTTGCACTATCTACCCTCTGGCTAACTCCTCAGTATCCCTTTAGTAAGCCTCTTCTTTGCAGTTCATTTACTCCCAGGCCACATTCCAGCATCCCTTCTTCGCATCCAGAATCCCGGACTACAAACGCCCATAGGACCATTTTTCCAAAACCCTATTCCCCCATTTCCCTCTCATTCAACCCCAGGCCACGACTTCCATTTTTCCACTCCCCATTTTTCTGCCGCTCCAGACCTTCCTTTAATCCGGCCGAACTACACAGTCCCCACCCCTCAAATGCCCTAGCCCAAGTCTTCCCGCCTCAGATCCCCCTCCCCCACCGTTCCCATTCAGGCTCCCGCTCCCCATCCTTTCCCTCCCGGACGCCAGCCCGCCTTACCTGCTCCTTCACCTCGGGCCCCGAGGGCCCGGTCCGCTCCTCCAGTAGCTGCCGCCCAGAAGGCGCTCGCCGGCGCGACGGCAAGGGCTGGGGTTGGGGCAGCTCCGCCGCCCGCTGAGCTCCATCCTCCCGGCGGGCGGCCGGTGGTGGCGGCTGCGGTCGGTCGCGGCAGCGGCTCCGCTTCATATCTGTGGCTGGGCCCCTCGGGCGTCAGCGCCGCGACTGTCCCGGCCCCGCACGGCCCCGGGCCGCAGCGCTGCCGCGCCAACCACCGCCCGCAGCCACCATGGCCGGGCAGGCGCCCGAGCCACCGGCCCCAGCTCGCAGCTGCTCCGCGCTTTCTGGGGCCTCAAGCGCAGCAACCTCCTCGGCGCTCCTTAGGAAAGCGGCAGCATCGCCGCCGCCCGCCTTCTCCCTCCCGGCACACGCTCGGCCGGCCACCCGCCGCCGCAGCCGCCGCCACCACCACCGCGGGCTCCCCAGCCAGCAGCCAGCCGGCGCACCCGCCTCTGGCCGGGCCCCGCCCCTGTCCTCCCCACCCCGCGCGCGCGCGCGCGCTTGGGGAACCCGCCCGCCACCTCCGGCCGCGCGCGGCCTCCGGCGCACGCGCCAGCGAACGGTCGCGAGAGACGCGCTCGTGGCCTCCCCGCTTGGTGGGTAGAGCGGAAGGGGGCGGGGCCCTTGGCGCGCCTGTTGGGGCTGAGGACGCTCATTGATCCTTTCATTCATCCATTCATGAAATTGTGTGCCTGGCCAAGCTAAGTGCTAGGGATCTGAAAGTGAGTTAGAACTGATTAGTGTCTTCAAGGATCTAGGGGGAGTGAGAACAGGAACAAGGAAACTATGCAATTAATTAATAGAATACTATTATGCCTTTTTATTGATCACCCACCGACTGTCTTCACTTCGCACTTTGGATGCAGGTCTGCTCATTCTCGTGTTACAATAAGGACAAGGTGAAGTGGCATGCATCAGGTCACCCCATAAATCAGTTGACCAAACTAGACAGGATTCAAATGCTTGCTTTTTGTCCCTTTCCATGTTTCCTGCTGATGCTTCCAGAAAGTAAGATAAGGTATGGAAAGCCCTATTAAAGAGGAAGAAGTAATGGATTCTTCCGGGGAAGAAAAGTAGGACAAAAAGGCTTCTGGAACAATCCTCATGATTCCCCACTGACAATGAAGTCATGTTATAGCCCAGTCTAGCCTGGCCACAGCCAGTCCAGCTGTGGCCTGAGCAACCCTGCCTGCATTTTCAGTGACTCATCTTCTCAGCAACGTGGCTTAAGTTCAGCCCTGTCTGGCCTCCTCCTTCTAACTTTAGCTGGTCTACCACAATGTTGCATTTTTCCTCTTTGGTCTTGAACACCATTCTTTCCCAGAAGCTTTTCCTACAGGCTTCACCCATTTTTCCTGGGCCTCCTCCCTGAACCCTCTGTAAGAAGTAATAATAGCCAGCATTATAGAGTGCTTAGTGGATACCAGACACTGTATTCACACATATGCAAGCAAGAGGTAAGTTATATTATTTCCAGTTTACAATTGAGGAAACTGAGGCTCAAGTTGCATAACATGCTCAGTATGACTTAGGTCATAAGTGCAAAGCCAGAATTCAAACCAGGGTCTGTCAGATACCAGAACCTACACACAACCAAGTATACAGCCTATTATCAACCTGCCCCTGTATTCCCTCTTTCAGTTCCTCGCCATCATCCATCCAGTTTCCTCAGCCAGAAATTTGGAAGTCATCCTAGACTCTTTGCTTCCCTTCTGCCTCCACATCCAATTAATCAAGAAGTCCTTGTTGCTTCTATAACCTATGTATCCATCTGTCTCCTAGTTTCATCCCACTGACACCACCTTAGCTCAAATCCTACCTTCTCTTACCTACTTGACTGAGAAAGCTTTCTAAACTAGTTCACCTATATCTGCTCCCTGTCTCTTCAAACCCATCCTCCAGAAAGCCTTTACAAGAATCTTTACATAAGATGATGTTACTCCTTCGTTTAAAACAGTTAAATGGAGGGGCACCTGGGTGGCTCAGTGGTTTAAGCATCTGACTCTCGATTTCAGTTCAGGTTATGATCTTACAGCTTTGCAGTTTCAAGACCCACATCAGGCTCTTCCCTGGCAGCACGGAGCCTGCTTGGGATTCTCTCTCTCCTCTCTCTGCCCATCTCCCGCTTGCACTGGCTATCCCTCAAAATAAATAAATACACTTTTTAAAAAAAAAAATTTAATGTTTATTTGAGAGAGACAGAGTGTGAGCAGGGGAGGAGCAGAGAGAAGGGAAGACACAGAATCTGAAGCAGGCTCCAGGCTCCAAGCAGTTAGCACAGAGCCTAATGCAGGGCTCGAACTCACAAACTGCAAGATCATGACCCGAGCCGAAGTTGGAGACTTAACCAACTGAGCCACCCAAGTGCTCCAATAAATAAACTTAAAAAGGAGAGAGAGTTAAATGAATTTTCACAACCCTCAAGATGAAATGTAAACTTACTATAGTTGACAAGGCCATCCAAAATCTAGTTTCTGCCTGCCTCCCCTTCTCCTGTTAATCTGTGCTATACCAAGTATTTACAGTTGTAACGGCTGTCTATATTTACCTATATGTGCAGGATCTGCCACATTCTTGGTTACAAACAACAGAAACGAACACCACATCCTACACCTACGGGGAATTTATTAAAAGGCTATATAGAAGGGTTCACAGAATTGAACAGAGATTGAAGAAGCAGACTTATAAAATTGGCAGGAAACAAGAAGCCTCTACAAGCTGAAAGTCAGGAACAATTTCAAAACACTGCTGTCACCACCACTCCTGCACCATGACCAGACAATGTATTATGCTGCTACCACACATTCCTGCAAAAGGAACCTTTTCATAATTACATCACCATTCGAAATTCACTATCTTGAGCAGAATCCACTGACTCAGCCTTGAGCCTGGTCCTTAGGGACCAGAAATTCATTCTAACTTTTCAACTTTCACTATAGGGACTAGGAAAATCAATGCAGACTCTAAGGTGGCTCTCAAGATCTGTCTCCTCCCCAGTATTTATGCTTTTGTGTGATCTCCTCCCCTTGAGTGTAGGTGGGACCCATGACTTACTTCTAACCAATAGACTATAGCAAAGGTGATAAGATGTCACTTTTCTGATTACCTTAAAGTATAGAAGAATATGTCTTGCTAGCAGACTCACTCTCACTTTCCTAATGGCCTTGAAGGAGCAAGCTACATATTCTGAACTGCTTATAGAGAAGGACATGTGGCATGAATTTGCAGGTAACCTCTAGGAGCTAAGAGCCAAAGAGCCCAGAAACCAAACCAAAACAAACAAACAAAAAACGTCAAAGTGCTCCATCCTACAACCAAAGGAAATTAATTCTACTAACAACTGGAATGAGCTTGGAATTAGATCCTTCTCTCGTTGAGTCTCCATATGAGAACTCAGCCCAGCCATACCTAGACTCTTGATTTACAGAAACTGAGCTAGGCATGTGTTATTTCATATATTTTTTTAAAGTTTATTTATTATTGAGAGAGAGAGAAAGAGAGAGAGCAAGTTGGGGATGGTCAGAGAGAGAGGGAAACACAGAATCTGAAGCAGGCTCCAGGTTCTGAGCTGTCAGCACAGAGCCCAAGGTGGGGCTTGAACACATGAACCGTGAGATCATGACTGGGCCGAAGTCAGACACTTAACTGACTGAGCTACCCAGACATCCCTAAATATGTGTTATTTTAAACTGGTAAGTTTGTGGTAATTTATTGGACAGTAATAGAAAACAAATACAGCCAAATACTCACTTTCTTGGCCTCTGAGAAATTGACCAGAGATGACCAGATGATACACCCTGGCCTGAATCTACTCTTACTCCTGTGTTCCCCAACTTAATGAATGACAAACCATTTTTTTCAGTTGTTCAGGCCAAGACCTCAGAATGATCCTTGAGTCTTCTCTTTCTCACACACATCACACCCATTGCACTAGCAAATCCTATGCAAATTAAGAGGATATTACAAATATCTGGGAGAAGGGTGATGATGACAAATAGTAAAAGAGTAATAGTGGTGCAGGAAGAAAGTGAATGGATTTTAGAGAGACTCAAAAAGTAGAAAACAAGACCTACTGACTGTATCTGGGTAGAGAAAAAGAGACAAAATGAGAACATTTCCAAGTTTCTGGCTTGGGCAACTGAGGTAGGGAAGAGTGGAGAAGGAGAAATTTTAAAGTGATTATGATTGTTTTAGATGTGTTTGCTCTTAAGTGCTTATGAGATGGCTAAGTGAAAATGTCCAGTGAGTTATTGATTAAATTGACTTAGAGCTTAGAATTAAAGGCTGCCAGTATTTACATGTGTAGCTAATATAAACTGTTTCGTTATCTTAGAGTATAAATGTGATCACAACTCTTTTCTTTTTTCTAGTCACTCAGGCCCCTCATGTCCTATTATCAGGAAGTCTATTATCTCCTCTTTAATTATAATTATCTAAAAACTCCAAGGTTCTTTATATTTCAAAAGATATGGCAGTTACCTATTGTTATATAACAAACCACCCCAAAATTTGTAGCTTAAAAAAAACAGCCATTTATTTTAGCTGACAATTGTGTGGGTTGCCTGGGTGTCTGTTATGGTCTGAGCCAGTTTAGCTGATTACTTCCAGGTTTGCAAATGTATCTACAGTCGGCTGAGGATTGGCTGGTGGGTAGATTATCTAGAACGGCCTTTCTCACACATTTGGCAGTTGGCACGTAATTGGCCATAGTAACAGGAGAAACTAAGTCACATATCTCTCATCCTCTAGTGGCTAGCTTGAACCTCACATGGCAGCAATGGTAGGAGTCCCAAGAGCAGAGAAAAACAGCAAGCCTCAGTGTGAAAGCAACTTTTCAGGTCTTTCTTACCGTCATGTTGGCAATTGTGTCATTACCAATGCAAGTCATAAATCACAAAGCAAGTCATTGCCAAACCAAGTCATTGTGGGAAGGGACTAAAGTTTTACAGCAAGAGGGAGTAAATTCAGAGAGGGGAAGAATTTGTGACTATCTTTGAAATCCTACTCCAGGAAGATCAGGCCAACTTCCACAGTCAAGTCTAGCTACAATTAGATTAGCTCATTAGTATCATGGCTTCCTGGGACCATGTTATGGACTGAGTGTTTGTATTCCCCCCTCCAAATTCATATGTTGAAGCTCTAACCCTCCAGTTTGATTATATTTGGGTGGGACCTCTAAGGAAGTAATTAAGGTTAAATGAAGTCATAAGGGTGGGGCCCTGATCCAATAGGATAATTATCCTCATGAGAAGAGACACCAGAGAGTGCTTGCTCTCCCTCACCTCAGGCATGCATGCACCACAGAAGGCCATGTAACTATATAGGGAGAAAGTGGCCATCTACAAGCAAATAAGAGAGCTCTCACCAGAAAGTGAA